TTAGTGTTGTAGGCTACCAGTATTACTGTACCAAACTAATCCATGCCCCACCACCAGCCATTGGTGTTGTAGGCTACCAGTTGTACTGTACCAAACTAATTCATGCCCCACCACCAGCCATTACTAATGCCATTGGTGTTGTAGGCTACCAGTATTACTGTACCAAACTATTGTTTTTAAAATCATTGTAATTTGATTCCATGTAAAGAATCATCACTCGTCCAAACCCGTTTTACCTGTGGGGCGAAGACTTTCAAGTACATTCACCACTCTGTTTACCTTTTTCAGTGGCTTTGAGTTACTATAAATAGTTAATAACAATACTAGTTTGAGTATTTGTTTCCAAACGACTGGAAATAATGTATAAGTGGTTTAGCATTTGGAGAACTACAGAAACATATTGTTCGTTAGAAAACCTAATTAATCAATAGGAAACGTGTCTGTCCACGAGCAACCAATAGGAAACGTGTCTGTCCACGAGCAACCAATAGGAAACGTGTCTGTCCACGAGCAACCAATAGGAAATGTCTGTCCACGAGCAACCAATAGGAAACGTGTCTGTCCACGAGCAACCAATAGGAAATGTGTCTGTCCACGAGCAACCAATAGGAAAAATGACTGTCCATGAGCAAGTCAGTTAACTGCTTCCTGGTGATTTTTCATAGTTTGATGTTTGAATTTGAGGGGCACACATTTAGTATTTTTGTCACTGTCTTCTTATTGTAGAGAAGGCCAGTTTATCTTTTTCTAACATTGGGGGAAATATCCCTTTTGTCCCTCCTGCTCCTGCGCTCTTGACTATAAACTGTCATAATAAACGCAACCTTTAACCCTAAAAGCATTGCAGACAGAGTGCAGTATATCTTGTATTGCATTAGTAGTATCACCGTTGAAGTCAAGACACGTCCTCATACAAAGCTCTTGCAGCCAGGCCATTCTGTCTCAGTCATCTCAGGTGCCGAAATGAACAATGTTATGATGACGATGCTTTTGGTGTTTAATAATTGGTGGTTAAAATATATTGTCTTTGATCTTCAAAAGAAAAATGTCCTTTGCTTAGCATTTTTACATGATGCCATATTTTGTTGCGTCAGCGTTTCACCATATTAACATTCATGTTGGCCATTGTGTTGATAATAGTGTGAATAGGAGCTGTGGAAGAGGCACAATAGCGCTGTGACAAAAGAGCAATGCAAGTGTTGTCATTGTGTTATTCCAGATCCGTCTCTGTCGCGGTTCATGTGTGCGGAGCTGACCCGGGGATACTTCCTGGAGCACAACGAGGCAAAGTACACGGAGCGTCGAGAGCGAGTGTACACGTGCATGCGCATTCCCAGAGAACTGGAAAAGGTAAGTAGTGTAGAGCACATGCGCACACACACAGACACATACACGTGCACGTACAGATTACTACACTGGGAAATGTTTAATAGCTGTGAATTTAATGGTTCTTTTTCCAATTTGTGTTAATAACATTTATGTTGAACTTGTCCTTTAAATCGGGTGATTGGTATATTTTTGGTGTCATTTCTTTTGCATATTTTGTACCATAATCTGTTTCAGTGCACTTTCATGGCAAGTGTAATGCACTATATAAATAACCACCAGGTGGTGGTAAAGGAACATATTTCAATAGTAACAACGTAAACACAGACTTACTTCAATGTTTAAGTGGAAATGGGAGTAATACATCTGTGGTAGAGTCTGATATCAACAATAAGAGGCAGATGTCAAAAAATACTTTCTAATCCCTCAAACAAGAGTATACTGTGATATGTATGGCACACAGTTTAATATATATATTTTAAATGTATTTATTTTTGTCCAGAAGCATGTGTTGGACCTCTAATCACCATGTTGAGACAGTAAACATCTGTAAAGTTGCTTTATCATTTAGATTTAGTTGCGTACCTACACATTACTCTCACTTGTTGGCTAAACCATTCAATTCTAAAATTCCGGAAAACTGAAGAATGTGTGAACAGACAGATCCTTGTGACCTTGTAGATCTAGATTCTTTGCCTGGAGGTAAGCTACTACCGGTACCTGCAATTGCATGCAGGCCAAAGAAAGCAGCCAGCGACGTACCAATGAAAGACTTGACTTGTAACTCTCGTTATACAAGCCCAACCCCCATCACTCGATTTCTGGTAAGAAACAGGAAGTGTTGCGACACCCTCATCCCAGTGGATGTTTGTTAGGCTAACGCTCACTGGAGCTGGCTCATGCTTAATCTCATCCTGTCCTTCTCAACGTGAAATGACTGGTCTTAGATGGTATTTGCTGTTTGAAAAGGTATGTATAGGCTGCATTCTTAGAGTCTCGTTGCCTTATTTATTGTTTGTTTGCATGTGTAACATGTTGTCTTTTTTCACGTTTGTTTACACGTGTAACATGTTGTCTTTTTTCACGTTTGTTTACACGTGTGACATGTTGTCTTAGCTCTTTTGGTGAAAACATTTATCATTAGTCCAAAGTAGCAGTTTGTCTGTTCGTGTTTTGCCTATTTCACGAGAGACTAAATGCAAAAAGTGTGAGCAAAACCAGTTTAAATTTGTGCTGTTGAGATTTTGAACTGGAACGACTGATGATTATAAAATGCGAACACACATCAGCCAACCACACACTTTCCCTTTGCATGGGAGGATAGACACCAATTGACTTGCACCCTATCATTTCTTCATTTCTTTATCACTTATTTGGTTTGCTTTCCTAGCTTGGTTTCTACCCACAGGTGGCCTAGCATCTGATCATTAACATTAAGGTTGCTGGTTGTAAATAAGCTGCTCCTCGGGCGCTCATCATGGTGGCCCCCTCATTGTACTTTTCCAATTTGGAGGCATTGGGTTACATTTTTGTTGGCCTTGTTTTCAATTGAAAGAACATGAAGATTCTGTCTGGGGTGGAGGTGGTTCTGTCTGGGGTGGAGGTGGTTCTGTCTGGGGTGGAGGTGGTTCTGTCTGGGGTGGAGGTGGTTCTGTCTGGGGTGGAGGTGGTTCTGTCTGGGGTGGAGGTGGTTCTGTCTGGGGTGGAGGTGGTTCTGTCTGGGGTGGAGGTGGTTCTGTCTGGGGTGGAGGTGGTTCTGTCTGGGGTGGAGGTGGTTCTGTCTGGGGTGGAGGTGGTTCTGTCTGGGGTGGAGGTGGTTCTGTCTGGGGTGGAGGTGGTAGCCCGTTACTAGTGTTCTCTGACACTAGTATTAGTCTTTATAGCCCTGGGGTCATGCACATCTTGTTTTTGATTCGTTCAAGCTGTAATGTTTTAATTGTGATTTATTTGGCTAATCAATGACCATAATGAGTGTTTTGTAGAAAGAAAATGTTGGGAAACGAACGATCGTTAAGAGTAATTTTCTACTGTATATCAGTTTTGCTGTCTCGAACTGTAAAAGAACAATCATTAGGCTACATCAAAAGCAATTTCCTTTAGGTTCTTGGTAGATCATTTAACCAGTAAACTAAAGGTGGCTTGATCTCCTATCTGGAAAGTTGTTCCATAGCATGACCATAAACACTGCCCCCACGCTGTTGCTGTTAATGAAAATGTGTTCTCAGTCAACTTACCTGGTAAAACAAAGATAAAACAAATACTCTTTTGAACATGTTATTAGGAAATTCATGTAAGTGATTTGTGAAAAGGAATATATGCTTGTTTTGTGCTACTTTGTCTAACGGATCTATGACATGTTCTGTTTGTGGATCTGCTACGTTGTCTTGCGCATCTATGACATGACCATTTATCTATGACTTAATATCTACACTGTGAAAAATGTGGCCTGAATTACAGGTTTCAGACAATTCAACAGCGTTATATAATATGTTTTGCAATTAATATGAAATTCTATACGTGCAATGAACTTGGTAGGAAATTGTTTCATGACATTATTTATGGTATATGCACAAAATGCGTCAGTGCTTTCAATTTTCCTACAAAGTTAAAATGAGCCGCTCGTGTCTTTGTGTGTGATTCTGCCTGTAGTAGGTGAGTATGTTTTCACTTTGTGCAGTGAAACTGTCTTCTGGCAAGGGCCTGAAAGTCTTTTCAATCTCATGTCAATTGCCCAGTAGTAGCCTATACCTAGCTGGCAAAAAACATATCCTGATTACAGTCCACAGGAAAATTTGTTAATCAAATTCTGGAGTCAGTTAGGCACAACCACAAAACGGCCAACCAACAGCCACTTGATAGGGCACACTTGAACTAAGGCCCAGTGAAGTCAACACATTTTCCCTAACTTGTTAGTATTATTACATTTCAACTCTTTTATACGGAACACACAAGTAGTTTTACGTTTTAGACGGAATCAAACACACAGGTACTCGGAGTTGGTATCTTAGTGGTAGAGTGCATGCTTTATAGGAGCTGGTGTATCTCAGTGGTAGAGTGCATGCTTTATAGGAGCTGGTGTATCTCAGTGGTAGAGAGTGCATGCTTTATAGGAGCTGGTGTATCTCAGTGGTAGAGAGTGCATGCTTTATAGGAGCTGGTGTATCTCAGTGGTAGAGTGCATGCTTTATAGGAGCTGGTGTATCTCAGTGGTAGAGAGTGCATGCTTTATAGAAGCTGGTGTATCTCAGTGGTAGAGAGTGCATGCTTTATAGAAGCTGGTGTATCTCAGTGGTAGAGAGTGCATGCTTTATAGGAGCTGGTGTATCTCAGTGGTAGAGTGCATGCTTTATAGGAGCTGGTGTATCTCAGTGGTAGAGAGTGCATGCTTTATAGGAGCTGGTGTATCTCAGTGGTAGAGAGTGCATGCTTTATAGGAGCTGGTGTATCTCAGTGGTAGAGAGTGCATGCTTTATAGGAGCTGGTGTATCTCAGTGGTAGAGTGCATGCTTTATAGGAGCTGGTGTATCTCAGTGGTAGAGTGCATGCTTTATAGGAGCTGGTGTATCTCAGTGGTAGAGTGCATGCTTTATAGGAGCTGGTGTATCTCAGTGGTAGAGAGTGCATGCTTTATAGGAGCTGGTGTATCTCAGTGGTAGAGTGCATGCTTTATAGGAGCTGGTGTATCTCAGTGGTAGAGTGCATGCTTTATGTGTATGACGTCCTGGGTTTAATCCCCAGCTTATCCCCAGGTCGCCGTTGCAAATGAGAATTTGTTCTCAATCGGCCTATAAAGGTTAAATAAAATGTATATTTAGTTATAAGTTATGCTTTAACTAGATGGGACACCGGATTAGGTTGAATAACATTCACATTGATAATGTCCCTGTCATCCTGGAAATCCAATCCAAGTTTATCTGGTTATTTTGTGCTAATTACTATTAATCCAGGGGGGTAGCATCTAGACCAGTATTTATGAAATAGCAGACTGGCCAAACACCAATGCATTGCTTATTCATAGATAAACATTTCTATATAAATCCCTATTTAAAGTCCCTTCAATACACCGTGCATATGATGAGTTTCTCTTACATGGTTGTTACAGATAGGCCAGGTGTTTCCATTGTATGTCTCAGATGTTTCCATCTCTGCCTAATTGACTGGCCCTGGCAGCATATCACATTACATTAACAGTACCAATATGATCACTTTTATCAGGCAGGGCGTTATTGACGCAAAACTTGCAGAAGTTAATTGATTGCAACATTTCTTAAATGGATGTATAACATGTAATATAATGTGTTTTTTTTTCAGACAGTTTCAGTTCCTGTTTCATTACAAAAGATTACAAAAAATGTTTTAATATTATATGTACATGCATTTCTGCATAGCTATAAATGTATATTAGACTTGTCAACAAATAAACAACTAAAAATAATAAAGAACAATAAGTGGGTAAAAAAAATATACACTGGTATTATATTATGATTAGTCACATGAGAAGTGAATCACGTTGATCATTCCTGAACACGGTCAAAGTCTGGGTGGAGTAGATGGTAGGCGACAATAAGTTCCTGTAGTCAACGTGTTAGATGCAGGAGAAATGGCAGGGTTTTTTGACAAGGACCACATTTGTATGGCCTGCCGAGGTGTTTCTGTTGACAGGGTGTTAGGAGCCCAACTTATTGTACTTTATTATTTTTAGTTGTTTATTTGTTGACAAGTCTAATATACATTTATAGCTATGCAGCCCAAGGCTCATCGCTGGGTATGGGCAAAGTAGGTTACCTCATCTGGTCCGAACTAACAGAAGGTCTAACTGTGGCACAAGTCACACAAAACATAAATGATGGTTACAGGAGAAATGTGTTGTATCACACCCTGCTGCTTATGGAGCTGTGTAACCACAGACCGGTCAGAGTGCCCATGATGACCCCTGTGTGTAACCACAGACCGGTCAGAGTGCCCATGATGACCCCTGTATATAACCAGTAACCACAGACCGGTCAGAGTGCCCATGATGACCCCTGTGAGTAACCAGTAACCACAGACCGGTCAGAGTGCCCATGATGACCCCTGTGTGTAACCAGTAACCACAGACCGGTCAGAGTGCCCATGATGACCCCTGTGAGTAACCAGTAACCACAGACCGGTCAGAGTGCCCATGATGACCCCTGTGTGTAACCACAGACAGGTCAGAGTGCCCATGATGACCCCTGTGTGTAACCTGTAACCACAGACAGGTCAGAGTGCCCATGATGACCCCTGTGTGTAACCAGTAACCACAGACCGGTCAGAGTGCCCATGATGACCCCTGTGTGTAACCACAGACCGGTCAGAGTGCCCATGATGACCCCTGTGTGTAACCACAGACCGGTCAGAGTGCCCATGATGACCCCTGTGTGTAACCACAGACCGGTCAGAGTGCCCATGATGACCCCTGTGTGTAACCACAGACCGGTCAGAGTGCCCATGATGACCCCTGTGTGTAACCACAGACCGGTCAGAGTGCCCATGATGACCCTGTGTGTAACCAGTAACCACAGACCGGTCAGAGTGCCATGATGACCCTGTGTGTAACCAGTAACCACAGACCGGTCAGAGTGCCCATGATGACCCCTGTGAGTAACCAGTAACCACAGACCGGTCAGAGTGCCCATGATGACCCCTGTGTGTAACCAGTAACCACAGACCGGTCAGAGTGCCCATGATGACCCCTGTGTGTAACCAGTAACCACAGACCGGTCAGAGTGCCCATGATGACCCCTGTGTGTAACCAGTAACCACAGACCGGTCAGAGTGCCCATGATGACCCCTGTGTGTAACCAGTAACCACAGACCGGTCAGAGTGCCCATGATGACCCCTGTGTGTAACCACAGACAGGTCAGAGTGCCCATGATGACCCCTGTGTGTAACCAGTAACCACAGACCGGTCAGAGTGCCCATGATGACCCCTGTGTGTAACCACAGACCGGTCAGAGTGCCCATGATGACCCCTGTATATAACCAGTAACCACAGACCGGTCAGAGTGCCCATGATGACCCCTGTGAGTAACCAGTAACCACAGACCGGTCAGAGTGCCCATGATGACCCCTGTGTGTAACCAGTAACCACAGACCGGTCAGAGTGCCCATGATGACCCCTGTGTGTAACCAGTAACCACAGACCGGTCAGAGTGCCCATGATGACCCCTGTGAGTAACCAGTAACCACAGACCGGTCAGAGTGCCCATGATGACCCCTGTGTGTAACCAGTAACCACAGACCGGTCAGAGTGCCCATGATGACCCCTGTGTGTAACCAGTAACCACAGACCGGTCAGAGTGCCCATGATGACCCCTGTGTGTAACCAGTAACCACAGACCGGTCAGAGTGCCCATGATGACCCCTGTGTGTAACCACAGACAGGTCAGAGTGCCCATGTTGACCCCTGTGTGTAACCAGTAACCACAGACCGGTCAGAGTGCCCATGATGACCCCTGTGTGTAACCACAGACCGGTCAGAGTGCCCATGATGACCCCTGTATATAACCAGTAACCACAGACCGGTCAGAGTGCCCATGATGACCCCTGTGAGTAACCAGTAACCACAGACCGGTCAGAGTGCCCATGATGACCCCTGTGTGTAACCAGTAACCACAGACCGGTCAGAGTGCCCATGATGACCCCTGTGTGTAACCAGTAACCACAGACCGGTCAGAGTGCCCATGATGACCCCTGTGTGTAACCACAGACAGGTCAGAGTGCCCATGATGACCCCTGTGTGTAACCAGTAACCACAGACCGGTCAGAGTGCCCATGATGACCCCTGTGTGTAACCACAGACCGGTCAGAGTGCCCATGATGACCCCTGTGTGTAACCACAGACCGGTCAGAGTGCCCATGATGACCCCTGTGTGTAACCACAGACCGGTCAGAGTGCCCATGATGACCCCTGTGTGTAACCACAGACCGGTCAGAGTGCCCATGATGACCCCTGTGTGTAACCACAGACCGGTCAGAGTGCCCATGATGACCCCTGTGTGTAACCACAGACCGGTCAGAGTGCCCATGATGACCCCTGTGTGTAACCACAGACCGGTCAGAGTGCCCATGATGACCCCTGTGAGTAACCAGTAACCACAGACCGGTCAGAGTGCCCATGATGACCCCTGTGTGTAACCAGTAACCACAGACCGGTCAGAGTGCCCATGATGACCCCTGTGTGTAACCAGTAACCACAGACCGGTCAGAGTGCCCATGATGACCCCTGTGTGTAACCAGTAACCACAGACCGGTCAGAGTGCCCATGATGACCCCTGTGTGTAACCAGTAACCACAGACCGGTCAGAGTGCCCATGCTGACCCCTGTGAGTAACCACAGACCGGTCAGAGTGCCCATGATGACCCCTGTGTGTAACCACAGACCGGTCAGAGTGCCCATGATGACCCCTGTGTGTAACCACAGACCGGTCAGAGTGCCCATGATGACCCCTGTGTGTAACCACAGACCGGTCAGAGTGCCCATGATGACCCCTGTGTGTAACCACAGACCGGTCAGAGTGCCCATGATGACCCTGTGTGTAACCACAGACCGGTCAGAGTGCCCATGATGACCCCTGTGTGTAACCACAGACCGGTCAGAGTGCCCATGATGACCCCTGTGTGTAACCACAGACCGGTCAGAGTGCCCATGATGACCCCTGTGTGTAACCAGTAACCACAGACCGGTCAGAGTGCCATGATGACCCCTGTGTGTAACCAGTAACCACAGACCGGTCAGAGTGCCCATGATGACCCCTGTGAGTAACCAGTAACCACAGACCGGTCAGAGTGCCCATGATGACCCCTGTGTGTAACCAGTAACCACAGACCGGTCAGAGTGCCCATGATGACCCCTGTGTGTAACCAGTAACCACAGACCGGTCAGAGTGCCCATGATGACCCCTGTGTGTAACCAGTAACCACAGACCGGTCAGAGTGCCCATGATGACCCCTGTGTGTAACCAGTAACCACAGACCGGTCAGAGTGCCCATGATGACCCCTGTGTGTAACCACAGACAGGTCAGAGTGCCCATGATGACCCCTGTGTGTAACCAGTAACCACAGACCGGTCAGAGTGCCCATGATGACCCCTGTGTGTAACCACAGACCGGTCAGAGTGCCCATGATGACCCCTGTATATAACCAGTAACCACAGACCGGTCAGAGTGCCCATGATGACCCCTGTGAGTAACCAGTAACCACAGACCGGTCAGAGTGCCCATGATGACCCCTGTGTGTAACCAGTAACCACAGACCGGTCAGAGTGCCCATGATGACCCCTGTGTGTAACCAGTAACCACAGACCGGTCAGAGTGCCCATGATGACCCCTGTGAGTAACCAGTAACCACAGACCGGTCAGAGTGCCCATGATGACCCCTGTGTGTAACCAGTAACCACAGACCGGTCAGAGTGCCCATGATGACCCCTGTGTGTAACCAGTAACCACAGACCGGTCAGAGTGCCCATGATGACCCCTGTGTGTAACCAGTAACCACAGACCGGTCAGAGTGCCCATGATGACCCCTGTGTGTAACCACAGACAGGTCAGAGTGCCCATGTTGACCCCTGTGTGTAACCAGTAACCACAGACCGGTCAGAGTGCCCATGATGACCCCTGTGTGTAACCACAGACCGGTCAGAGTGCCCATGATGACCCCTGTGTGTAACCAGTAACCACAGACCGGTCAGAGTGCCCATGATGACCCCTGTGAGTAACCAGTA